GCAAGTCTTAAAGCTGTCAAGTTACAAGACCCTTGCACCCCTAACCCTTTAGAAAAAAACCTCAGGGGTGTTCAAACTTGACAGGTTTAAGACTTGTGGACTTCAACTCCCAGAATTCCTTCTCTCGCTCTTCATCTTGATGATGTGTAGACAGGCGGGGGGGAGCTAGAACTGGTTCTAAACGGCACTGTAGATTTGTGGAACCTCTTCTATAGAAGATGTTAGAACTGGCAGGAACCCACCCCTGATGTGGGATGAGGTTTGCATGAATGGGGCTGTAAACTCATGTGGCCTAGCGGCAAATAGCCTGCAATCCGGTGTAGGCCAATGTCAACTCACAAAGCATTCCTGGCCTGCTCTCGAGTTGCCATAGGAAAGGGGAGATGGGAAATCAATGAAACAGCACAACAGCACAGACAGATGCACATTCCAGACTTATCTTTCTTAAGGCTGTATCCCAGGGTTACTTGCAGCAGCCAGAGGGGAGTGGGCTCTACAACCTACGAAATTGGCCCATTGGCCAATGTGATTGATGATACACCCTGGGAAGGGGAAACAGGGCCATGATTGGGGTTGTAAATTACGTGGGGTCAGAGTTGGCTTCACTTGGGTATGTGCCAACATGAAGCTCCTAATAAATGACTGCATTTCTTTTGAAGCTTGGCTCGAGGCTCATGATTTAATTAGGGCATCTGTTGGAACTCTAACAGCTGCAGCCCACAGGTTGTAACCCCCTGTTCTAGGGCACTTCTTTATCATAAAAAAGAAGTCCCATTTTCTAAATTAAATTAGAAAACTCTTGCTAAGGAGAGGCCCAAAACGACAATCATTCACTGCATATTTTTGCAAGGGGAATAAATCTGGGTTCCAAGACACCCAGGAAATCCTCAGGCAGGCTGTTTTTGTCATCTTCTAGGATGAAAAGGGACCATGAAGATTCGTTTTTTTCCAATGCTCCTTCCCTTGCATAAACACGTGGGACATAAGAAACTCTATCATCCTCCAGGTTGGCCATGTCTTCACATTTCTGCAAAGAAAGAAAGAAAGCAAACATATAGAACAGCAGTGGCATCCACTTACTTACCTCCTCTACTGGTTCGCAAATGTGAATGTGTGTCTGTGTGCTGTCGCTTCACTCGCACATGCCACCATCTGCACATGCGCAGAAGGTCCCAAATTAAGTGAGGGTGGATGGGCGGCAGTGGTGGGATTCAAATAATTTAACAACCAGTTCTCTGCCCGAATGACCAGCTGGGTAGGCATGGCTCGGTGGTCATGTGTCTGGGTGGGCATCAGTGGTAGGTTTCAAAAATTGTTGGAACCTACTCTGTGAGTGTGGCCTCCTTTGTGGGAGTGGCTTGCCACCCATGTGACCAGATATGAAATTATGAATTAGTACTTAGGTCGGTCCAAGTAGCTATTCAGAAACTCTGGCATTGAAGCATGCAAGTCTTAAAGCTGTCAAGTTACAAGATCCACATGGTGGGTTTCAAAAAATTTTGGAACCTCTTCTGTAGGTGTGGCCTGCTTTCCGGGTCCACTGGTGGAACCTTTTCTAACCGGTTCGGTAGATTTGACGAACCGGTTCTACCGAATAGGTGCAAACTGGTAGGAACCCACCTCTGGTGGGCATGGCCAACTCAACATTGCTCTGGTCGCCTTAGCTGTTACGATGTAGCAAGGGTTAACCAGAGAGGCGGTTTCTGTAAGCAGGGCAATAAAGATTAGGCTAGAAACAACACCAGAATGTTTCCTTCCTTCCTTACAGGATTAGCCCTGTAAGGTGGGAAAAAACAAAAGATTTCTTCCAACAACCAGTTCTCCAAACTGCTTAGAAAGTTAACAACCGGTTCTCCCGAATAGGTGCGGACTGGCTGAATCCCACCACTAGTGGGCGGAGCCTCCCACAGCTGCCGCTACCAATTCACCTGAACCGGTTGAATACCAACTCTGATTTAGACTAATCACAAAGCTGTGCCCTACAGGTAGTCCTTGACTTAGAGCCATTCGTTGGGTGATCATTTGAAGTTACAGCCGCACGGGAAAAAGGGGCTAATGACTGGGGGTTTTTTTGCACTTACGATCATTGCAGCATCCCCCTGGTCACGTGATCAAAATTCAGATGCTTGGCCACTGGGACGTATTTATGACTGTTGCAGTCCCCAGGGGCAAGTGATCCCCTTTTTGCGACCTTCTGATAAGCAAAGTCAATGGAGAAGCCAGATTCGCTTTACAACCGTGTCACTAACTTAACAATGGCAGTGATTCTCTTAACAACTGTGGCAAGAAAGGTCATAAAATGGGGCAAAACTCACTTAACTGTCTTGCTAAGTAACAACGTTCGGGGTCAATTGTGGTCATAAGTCGAGGACTACCTGTACAGAGCACCGGAATATAGTTTTAGTTTTAAAATCTTCATGGTGGCAAGTATGAAAAAAGTTACTTTTTTCCACTGTGAAGTGAAAAAGTCTTTACTAGCCTTGATTCTATTGCTGATTTTGGCAAAATGGCACCAGGCACATAACATTTAAAATGCATTTAAATGGTCAATATACAAATATTTGTTGGAGGTGTAAGAAAGAGGTTGTGGTGGGATTGTGATAGTGCACAAAAAATATGGGGCATGGTGTTTGGAGAAATTAGAGCACTCTTGAATGTAAATTTAGACATGTCATCGAGAATTGCATTACTGTTGCTGGTGGAAAAAAGGGATATAGATGAAACAAAAAAGGAATTGATTGTAAATTCTCCATCAGGGCGCAAAGAGAAAATATCTCCTGCAAACTCTGCATAGACGTCAGGAAGGGCAACCGGCCAGTAAATGCTGAGTTCCAGTCACCCACCCCAAAACAAAGAGTCATAAAAAGAAAAAAAAAATGCTTTAAGAGTGGGATCAGGGACGGTGTTGAGTGACATTTCATATGGAGAATGGCAGATGGAAAGGAATGAGCTCTATAGAAATTTTCCTATATAGCAGCTGCGATCCTAACCTTCAAGCCTCAAATTTCTTCATGTGACAAGTAAGCACTTCACTTCCAAAATAGGTATCTATTTTTATCTTTCGCAACCTGAAAAAAAAAATCACTGAAAATTTGATTAAGCAGGGAAACCCCTAGGAAACCTTAAATCTGGTGGTTGAACCCATGCTCAAAACATATCCCACGTTTTGTCATTCTAAGTCGTTGGAAAAAAGAAGCCTCTGTTTGCCCTGCGGTTGGCTTACTTGTTTTAAGACAATAGCTACTATTTCTGAAATCTTCTCGTGCGGATTTCTCTGGTATGTTTGAATGTTCTGATGATTCAAAGACTCCAGCTATGGAAAGAAGAGAAAAAGAGGATCTTCACAATCAACTCCAACTTAAAATCCATCTCTTCATTTTATCACTTTGCTTTCAAATATTGAATTTTTCAGAGTATAAGATGCACTGGAGTATAAGATGCACCAAGATTTTGAAGAGGCAAATTTTTAAAAAAGGGTTTTGCACTCTGCAAATCTCCCAGAAACAGACATTTTTTGTGAAAATGAGCTCGTTTTTTTAAAAAAAGAGCATGAATAGCCTTTAGGAGGCTTGTAGGGTGCTCCTGGAGGCTAGGGAGGGGCACAATTGAGCATAAAATGGCCCGTTTTTCGCTCATTTCTGCCTTTCCTAGCCCCCAGAAGTACTTTGGAAGCCTCCTAAAGGTTATGCATGTCCATTTTGGTGAAGGGCAGGGTTTCAGGAGGCAAAAAATGCTGTATTCAGTATATAAGAGGCACCCAGATTTTCACCCTCTTTTTTGAGTGAAATGGGTGCATCTTATACTCCGAAAAATACGGTATATCTTTTGTCTAAACTGATGAATCCAAAACTATTAGAAACAGTGAGAGGAAAGATTTCATTAATTGTGTAATACAGAATTGGGCAATTTCTTGGTCATTTATCCAACACCTCCAGAATATGCTCCAACTTGACAGCCAAATTCCAGTTTCTCCAATTATGGGTCATTTTGAGGGAGAAAATATTTGAATTTGTAACATAGGCTTACAGCCATTTTAAAAGAGATTGGTTTTTAAGAAGAGATTGGACAAACCACTTGCCTGAAATGTTATAGGGTATCATGCTTGAGCAGAGGGTGGGAATAGAAGACCTCTAAGGTCCCTTCTTATATGTTGTATTCTGTTATTAAAACAAAGAATCTACTCCACCATTGCACAAAGGGGTATCGCCAGCCCTGGTTCCTAGCAATAGCAATAGCAATAGGAATAGCAGTTAGACTTATATATCGCTCCATAGGACTTTCAGCCCTCTCTAAGCGGTTTAAAGAGTCAGCATATCGCCCCCACAGTCTGGGTCCTCATTTTACCCACCTCGGAAGGATGGAAGGCTGAGTCAACCCTGAGTCAGTGAGATTTGAACCGCTGAACTGCAGATAACAGTCAGCTGAAGTGGCTGCAGTACAGCACTCTAACCACTGCGCCACCTCGGCTCTCCTGTTTGTAATACATTCCCGCCTACTTTGCAGTTCAGAAAGACTCAGAAAACCATTAATTGCCTCCCCCTTTACCAATAAATTTCTAATCCCAATTGACATGATGTATCTAACCTGATTCCAAGCTTTGATAGTGTTGAAGGGTGAAGTTACATTTCCATTAGGATTTTGGTGGTTTTCTATAGGTTTCATCTGTATCACTGCAGGGACATTCTTTAGAGAACAAAAGGGGAAACGGAACTTATAAAATAATCAAGTTACACCTTATTTTTTGTGTTTTGGCTATTTTAGGATCTAGAATCTTTAGAAGAATTCTCAATAACATCTTTATCTTCCCGAAGACTATCTACTCTAAATCAGTCCTTTCTGGCAGCTGAATACCTATGAGATTTGTCTTCTTCTTGCCCCAGTCATCGCCAGTCAGAGGAAAGGACGTGGATATCTGCAGATGATACCTCTTAATCCTACCAGTCATATTAGGGGACTGGAGACTAAAACATATGAAGAACGGTTGCAGGAACTGGATATGTCTAGTTTAATGAAAAGAA